GACCCTCATTTGAGAACTGGATTGGACTTCTCAATGTATTGAGTGTATCAAATGCAATGTATCAAGTGAGTCCAGAGGAGGCCAGAGAGGCCTGCGCTGAACTGTGGAGGTTCAGAAAATGGAAGTCATTCTAGAGCAAGTGCAGGCTGCTGCTGGAGAATTTTTCGAAGGGAGAAGACACGGTGTGATCCACATGTATCGCCAATCACTATGGCTGCTGTACAGAGAAGAGGTGAAGGGGGTAAGAAGTTAGAAGGCTCGTAGAAATGCCCAGGTGAGAGGTAGCCTGGAGTTGCGTGGTGGGCAGAGACCTGACTGAAGAGGTTAAAAGGGTCCAGCCCTGGGAAGACCCCCACAGCCCCATACAGCCCACGCATCTTGGCTGGTCCCTGGTGAGGATGTTCCTCTTCAGCAAAGGAAGTCCGGGGTAACCTTCCTCGAGCTTGTGAACCCCCTGTAACGGGAAGGAATGGGCCCAGCTCCTCTCCACTCTTGATGAGTGCATGCCAAGAACCAATGCTAACGACTGGCACGTGGATTTTCCAGGTATCACTAAGCATGTTGCTTCGAGATGACTAATGTTCCTGAGAAGGCGGCTGCTTCTCTTTCCAGTTACTGTCTCGGGTGCTCACGCTGAAGTGGACGGGTTCCGAGTAGGTTGGCGAGGCTGGTACTGGAGTTTTTCCGAGTAGTGTATCTCACATCTATTCCCCCTGCACAAAGTCCGCAAAGTGACTGAGCAGCGGCCCGTCCCGGCACAGGCGGGGCCTGTGGAATCCAAAGGCTTAGAGGTTAATCATTCAGAAACAACAGACCTTCTGCCGGATGTAGCCCCTCCCTCTTTTTTCAGATTCATTCTTCCCGGCCATATTCCCCTCCCCCACGACACACATACCATGCATGCCCACTCATTCTAAACCTGAGCCTGGGCAGCTCGATTTTCCAGGTCTGCCAACAGAATGTAACAGCTCCGAGAAGCTACCTTACATAGCCCTTAATCAAAGTCCCTAGTAGAAAACTAATGAGAGATAGAAGAGGGGAAAACACCTCCCTGACTAACAATCCTCTCCCTCCCCACCCCCTAATGCTTAGTTTCTCCTTTAGGGATAGAGGAGACGAATAGGGTAGAGGTAGCCTTTGCCTCTAAAAACAATCCCTAATAAAATGTTCTCCGTTGAACCAATCTGGAAGGCAGGTGAGCCTTTCATGTAATTCATCATCTGCAGTGGTAGCTCAGCCCAGACTGAGTGAGTGTTGTCTTTCTCACCCCCCACCCCAGTTTGATTTTGCCTTTTGCTCTTCAGGGACTGAGAAAGTCCATTGGCCTTGCTAGTTAAAGACAAACCGCGTCAGTGAGCCCTGCCACTGGCCTCCAGAAGCCCACAGGAAAGCTTAGGTAACAGCTCTAACTTGTTCCACCCAATCCCTCTCCTCTCGCACCAGGTCTGCGGATGGACTTGTTCCACCCAATCCCTTTCCGCTCGCACCAGGTCTGCGGATGGACTTGTTCCACCCAATCCCTCTCCGCTCGCACCAGGTCTGCGGATGGTGCCTGATTGCTGGGGGAAGAAGTCACAGAGCCTTCTTACCAAAGCACCCTGCTGGGAAGGAACAGGATTAAAAATAAAATCTTCTCAGTAGCTTTTATTTTCACCTGTTTAAACCTGTCCTCTTTCTTCTTTACCTCCTTCACTTCCAATCACTGAAACTACTTTGAAAGGGAAACTCAAACATGTCAGAAGCTAGGGGAAGGTCATCACCCAGGGTCACACACTGCCTGGTTCCACTTCTGTGGAATATCTACAGTAGGCGAGCAGATGGAGATCAGAGGTCATTTGTGGGGATCAGGGGTGTTGGTGGGGGCTGGGGCGGGGAGGAGGGTGTCTCACTGCTTAAGGCACACTGAGCTGCTGTTAAGGGTCATGGAAAAATTAGAAAATGTATAACTGGAATGGTTCAAATGTAGAACCAATGTCACCGAATTGCAAATGACAACTGATTTGTTACTGTTAGCACAACTTGAAAAAAGGCGGCTGCTGGTGTAAAATGGCAGCGATTCTTTGGAAAGCAATTTGGCAGTTCCTCAAAAGGTTCCCCTGCGGGACCCAGCAAGTCTACCACCAGGCACATACTCAAGAGAACGACAAACCTATGTCCACACACAGCAGTATTATTTACAATGGACAAACACACTGCAAACAACCCGAAGTCCATCAGCTGACTGCCGGCTGTGCCCTAAGCGTCTTTCTCAACATGTGGTGTACTTTGTCGGCGGATTTTTTTCCCCCAACACCTTTAAGGTAGGTTTTGTTACTGCCTTGATATGATGGGAGGTGAACTGAGGGACAGGAGGTGAACTGAGGCATATTGCTCAAGTGCACACAGGGCAAGTGGTCAAGCCAGGACGCAAGGTGGTGACTCGCATCAGAGCTCAGGATCTGCCGTGCTGCCTGGAGGCCTTGGCTGCCCTGTTCCTGGTCCTCTGTGTATGCACCTGGAGGCTGCCCGGCCAGAGGGGAGTGCACAGCAACGTGCTCGTCCTGCCAGGGGCGCTCTGTCTCCATCGCCCTGGGGCTGGGGAGGTCGCCACAGAAAATGTCTGGTCCCTGAAACCAGGCAGCTGCTTTGGCTTCCTCCTTTCAGCAAAACAAAACAGACCCTCTGCCTAGGGGCCCAGGGAGAGGAACCTCACCAGAGAACTCCATCTGTGGAAAACTCAGCGAGAAGAGAATTGGGTGCTTTCCAGCTTCTCGATCTTACTCTTCGGGTTAAAAAAGAGTTGCTTTGGGTGGTGGTGGTGGTGGTGGTGTGTGTGGGTGTGTGTGTGTAAAAAGAAAAAGGTGTATTCAGTACTAGTGCCTGGCTCTAGGAGGCAAAGGCACGACGCCATCTTCACACCAGGATCCCGGAGCGCAGGGTGGCCTGTGAGCGGAGGTTTGACTGTGAGACAGTCTACTTCACACTGGCAAAGTTAAAGGGAATGACAGCAGGGACAGAAGTGGGGCTTATTGGTCCCAGTGTTGTGATTTGCTGTCCAGTTGGGCCCTGACTCATGGTGACCCCACATGTGGGGACTGGAATGAAATGCTGAGGAGTCCTGTCCCGTCCCCATGATCAGCTGCATGAAGGCCTGTGGTGAGCCACACGATAGACATGAGCCACCCCCCCACCCCCCACCATGATAGACAGATGGGGGCAGGGTGTAAGGTACACTGATTGGGAATCAGGCGAGAATTGTACCACTGAGCCACCTAAAACCAAACCCACTGGCGTTGAGTCTATTCTGGTGCCTCCTTGAACTTGCACCTGGGGCAAGTACCATCATGCTTGGGGGGGGGGGGGAGTGCTGCATCTATAGGGTTCACAGACGCTGCTTGGGGGCTCCTGTCCCCTTTCAGTGGCATGAGCTAGACCTGGCATACCTCAGATATGCCCAAGAGGACAAAGGCCCAGCATATGTGGTCTCCTGGGCGTCCACCCCGAGCTTCTGGCCACTCCTAGCAATGCTGCTGTCTCTCCCCGACTCTCTCTTACCCTCTGTCCAGCCCCCAGACGCCCGGAGCCACTGCCAGGCACTGGGCTGGGTCCCGGGCCCTTGCCAGCACCTTTTCATTTACTGCCCACAACCACTCCCCTCCCAGCTCTGTCTCTCTCAGCGTGAAGACGAGGCGGAACTGTACCTCCCGACTCTGGGCAACGCCTCTGGGGTCCTGCTACCGTCCTCTTACTTTAGGAAAGGCAAGTGAACAAACAACACACGGACACTCCTTTTGGCTCTTACCTATCCACTTGCGTTTCCCTCTAGGTAGGAGTCTTTGAGAATGCCCCCCTGCTTTTAAAATCATTTTATTGGGGGCTCTTACAGATCTTATCACAATCCTTGCAGACATCCATTGTGGCAAGCACATTTGTTGCCATTATTTTTCAAAACATTTTCTTTCTACTTGAGCCCTTGGTATCAGGTCATCTGCCCCCTCCCCCCTCCCTCATGAACCCTTGATAATTTATCTTTTTTTTTTTCATGTCTTACACTGACCAATGTCTCCCTTCACCCACTTTTCTGTTGTCCGACCCCCTGGGAGGGGGTTAGATGTAGATCATTATGATGTTTCCCCTTTCTCCTCACCTGGCCCTTCCCTTCCTGGTATTCCTACTCTCATTATTGGTCCTGAGGGGTTTATTTGTCCTGGATTCCCTGTGTTGCAAACTCTTATTTGTACCAGTGTACATGTTCTGGTCTAGCTCGATTTGTAAAGTAGAATTGGGATCATGATAGTGGGGCTGGGGTGGGGGTGGGTGGGGTGGCCGGGGACATTGAAGATCTAGAGGAAAGTTGTATGTTTCATTGGTGCTATACTACACCCTGGCTGGCTCGTCTCTTCCTTTTGGCCCTTCTGTAAGGGGATGTCCAATTGTCAACAGATGGGCTTTGGGTCTCCACTCTGCACTCCCCCTCATTTACAGTGATATGATTTTTTGTTCTAGATCTTTGATGCCTGATACCTGATCCCATTGACACCTCACACAGACTGGTGGGCTTTATTGCTTCTCAGCTAGATGGCCGCTTGTTTATCTTCAAGCCTTTAAGATCCCAGATGCTACATCTTTTGATAGCCGGGCACCATCAGCTTTCTTCACTACATTTGCTTATGTACCTATTTTGTCTGCAGTGATCATGTCAGGAAGGTGAGCATCTCAGAATGCCAGCTTATTAGAACAAAGTGTTCTTGTGTTGAGGGAGTACTTGAGTAGGCCCAGTGTCTGTCTGCTACCTTAATACTTAACATATAAATATATGTACATAGACCTATTTTCCTATTGTTACATGTAAATATATTTAAATATGCACAGGCCTGTATTGAGACCTCTATAAATGTCCTTTGCCTCCCAGTTCTTTCCTCTATTTCCTTTTACTTTCCTCTAGTCCATCATGGAGAGTGCCCCTTATTGATCCCTCTCCCCTGCCTCAACACCTCTCCAGGAGGGTGTGGGAAACTCACCCTTCTCGAAGAGCGTGCCTGCGGTGAAGGAGAGCTCCGAGTCATGCTCAGCTTTGCAGGCGTACAGGGCTTTTGCCGTCCGGAATGGTGTGCTGTGTGAAAACAGGAGTTAATTGAGCATTTTCCGCCGAAACCGCCTGAAAGCCCCAGACATTTAATCTCTCGTCTTCCCTTTCCCTGCAAGGTACCCCATCCTCTCTGTGGGGAGAGTCTGACAAAGCAGCCAGATGGCAAGACATGAGGTGGGAAAGTTGCAAAGGTCACAGGAGAAAAATGAGAAATGTTCCGAGAAAGGTTCTAAGCTCTGTGAGGGCACGCTTCTTGCTAGGCCACCTCATGCCAGGTGACAACGTTACCTAGGAGTTGCAGCAGCTGAAGAGGGTGCAGGCTGGCCCCCGTTTGGGGAGCTGAGGAACCCTGGGAGGAGGGAGCATGAAAGGACTTTCAAGTTCTCTACAGAACCGCTCTAAAAGGCTCTGCTGACAGTGGCCAGGCTCAGAGAGTCACCCAGGGGACATTGTGGACGCCCGCACTCCTGGACGGTGCTTGCTTGCTTGCTTCTCAATGGGCTGGATCTTCCTGGGGAAGGACTGCCGCTCCGTAGCATCAGGGAGGTGTGTGTGTGTGTGTGTGTGTGTGTGTGTGTGTGTGTTGTGTGCTTACAACCCATGTGTGGATTAGAAATGAGAGATGACTTTGTCCTGTCCTCTCATACCCAGTGAGTGTCAATAACTATCTTCCTTGTGCACTAAAATCACCGGGGAGGGGTGTGTGTGTGTGTGTGTGTGTGAGTGTGTGTGTGTGTGTGAGATGTGTGCTTACAACCCATGTGTGGATTAGAAATGAGAGATGACTTTGTCCTGTCCTCTCATACCGAGTGTCAATAACTATCTTCCTTGTGCACTAAAATCACCAGGAGCTTAAAACATAAAAATGAAGCTGTCTGAATCAGGTCTTGACTTACACATATCAATATGGGCACTCAGCAGTATTTTGCAAATGCTCCTCCAGCAATATGCAACCAGGGTAACGAGCCGTTGTTCTAGAGTCGGATAAACGACCTTTGCTATAAACGGTCAGATGGCGCATATGCTCGGCTTTGCAGCCATATGCTCTGTGTCATGGTTACTCAATTCTGCATCCCTTGTGGCACAAAAACAGCCAGGCACACACATGTGTGTGGCTGTGTTCCAGTAGAGCTTTATTTATATATTTTAAAAAAATGGTAGTGGGCTGGATTCAAGCCCCAGGCCCCAGTTCCCTAACCCATGTTCTCGAGGGGGATTTGGACGAGCTGGTAAACCCTGTTGCCCTCTGTGGAGTCACTAGCCATCCACATCTCAAGAGCCCTAAGAAAAATGCCCATGACTTCTCCGCGGTTGGCCCTCATTGGCCTAACTGAGCTTCCTTCCCCTTTCCCGAGGCATCTCAGAAAGTCAGGGAGGCCCCAAGGGAAGATTACAAACAACTCCCAACGACATCCTCCAGACTAGGAAGTGACTCAAAGGGTGTCTTTTTTCTCCTTCTCTTCTTTGGACGAATTCAGAGCTCTCAATGAGCCAAGGGTGCAAACCTTTCCATGGAGGGCTGACTTCTAGCGGCTAAAAGGAGACGAAAGTGAGCCCTGGTCTGCTCTCAGGAAAGCCTGGACAGGCCAGATGGGCCAGGCGTCTTGGGGCACCATGGGGCTGCTAATTCTTGGTGTCCCCGTGTGCAGCTTCTCGTTAGGAAAGAGCTATGCATGGGTGGAAAGCTAGCCCCGGCCAGGCACCTACACTTTCAGCCTCCGTTCCATGACAACAGAAGGAACATGGCTTGGACCTTCTGCCGAATGGCCAGAGGAAGCGACTCTCCAAACCATGTGTTTCTGCTGCGATGCTGCGAGGTGCTGGCCAGGTGGGAGACAAGGAAGAGGAGCCGCGGGGAATGGTGACAGGAAAGGAGAGGCTTGAGGTCTCAGTAGCCCCAGCTGGCAAACAGCTCTTCCTGTTTTGAGATCAGTTCCGGTCCCGGGTGGTCATCCTGTGAGCTCAAAGACCATGTCCATGTGTTGGCCAGCAAGAGGCAAACTCAATCTCTCTCTCCTTTTTGAGGAGGGCGTTTGTGGTGAAAAGTGCAAAAACAGTAAGAAAAAACCTTACTGACAAGTGAGTGGGTCTGCTGAGATCAGGACGAATCCACGCCACAGGGTCTGAGAGACAAGGCTTCAAGGCAGCATTATTGCTCCTTGAAGGCGGGGTGGGGTGGGGTGGGGCGGGGTGGGAGGGTGAGGAAGAGAAAAAAGCAGATCAGGGAAGGGGGACCTGGAGGGTGAGGAAAACCACCTTTTAGGCAAGGTTCCTTGGCCTGGGTTTCCATGGGGTCATTCATTAACCTCATTAAGGAAAGGCAACGGGACAATTTTGGGGCAAGCCAGGGAAGGCAGCTGGGGCATTTGGCAGGCAGAAGACAAAGGGCATGGTCTCAGGTGCCTAAGATGCCTTTCCCAAGGAGAACCTTTCCACTAATACGCAGCTATGGCAGCACAGCCGGAGCAATGAGGAAAGACTGCGTGAAAGGGCAAAGGTCAGGGAAGGGTCTGGCTTTTCTCACAATACAAGTGCCCGACCCCCTAGAAGAGGGGTTTTTCTACTGATCCCCTTCCCCGACCCACACGGGAGATGACACACAGCTGCCAGATAAAACGCAGAATGCTTAGTTAAACTGGAATCTCAGGTTAGTCACGAGTCATTTTTTTATAAGTATGTCCGAACATTGGGACATACTTATACCAAAAAAAAGAGAGAAATTGTTGTTTATGTACAATTCAAATTTAACTGGACATCCTGGGTCTTTATTTGGTGATTCAGACAGTCCAACCCAGGGCAAAAGCTTTATCTTCTTAAAAGTGTGTGGGCCCACGTGTCCTGTGTCCCCACAAATGGCACAGTCCTGCTCAACAGCCATGAGAAGTGTGTGTACGGTAGGGTTCCTACTAAAACAGACAGAGCCTGTTGGCAGAGAGCGTGTGTTTGTAGGTTTTGGCAGGGTTAAAAAAAAAAAAATCCCCACCAAGCATCCTTGCTGCTCTGGCCCTTGGGCCCCCTATCCCCCCAGGGCCCCTCGCTCGGGGCCCAGAGGGCTGGGGGTGGTTTCGCTGGCCCAGCCACAGTGCCCTTCAGAGCTCAGCGGGGCCTCAAGGGCAGGGACGAGCTTGGATCCTGCTGCTTGTTCATTTTTAATTCTTCCCTCTGAGCCTGGCACGAGGCCAGCAGGCACTCAGAGGAGTTTCCCTCAGATGCCCCTGCAGGCCTTGCAAAATGACGCCCCACTTTGCCACTGTCCTGGCCACACGGGGGAAGGGCCAGCTGGATGGGTGAGTGGCAACAGCCTGATGCCTCGGGGACCCTTTGCCGTGGCTCCTGTGCAAAGGCAGGTTACAGGCCTGGGTCTCTCCTGGAGGGTGCAAGGGACCAGGACAGGAGCTGTAAAGGCCATGTTCCCTCGGTTCCCTTTCCTGCTGAGCTGTAAAAGGCATCTTTATTCCTGAACTTGGACAAGCATGAAACATGGTTCTCAGAGGGGAGAGGAAGCCATCATTTCCAGAGCAGGCATCATGCAGAAGTTCACAGGGACATGCATTAGGTCTAATTATTTATTTTTAAAAGCTCCTTCATGTTACTTTAGGGGAAGGCCCAATCCGTATGCCTGAATGTGCGTGGCTGCATATTGCAACGGCAGCCCTGGCAGTCCCTCTGAGGGGCAGCATCCCTAGCTGTGCTCTCACTGCATTCAGCTCAGCAACAGCCACTTCCAAGTCCCCCTCCCTCTGGCTATTTCCTAGGGGCAGTTTCCTAAAGCGCTCAGAAGCACCAGAACTCAGAGGTGCTATTCTAACAGTGGCCAGAGGGGCAGTCGTGAGTAGCCATGACCCCAAGCACACTAAGTGGGGAACTCCATTGCTACCACCTTCCTTCAGGGAGAAAGAGGCGGTGTGGCACGGCGGTAAAGAGTTCCAGGCTCAGAAACCCACACCAGCAGTTCTACCCTGTCCCATGGGGCCACGATGAGTCGAAATCGGATTGATTGCCATGAGTTTGGTTTGGTTTGGTATCCCTGTCAACCGGGGAGCTGGAGGGGTAGCGCAGTTAGAGACATTTGGTAAACATGTAGGCCGCACAGCTCAGAGATACCAAAAAGAGAACACTCTCCCTGGTGAAGAGTCTATTTTCATTTTTCAGTTGAAATGATTCAACTGTCTTGCATTTCTGGACCCATTTTGTTCAAGGGGCCAATACATCGATGCTTTTATTCCTTTTATATGGACACGAAGGACCTATTGTCCTAATGCCCACGTCGCTCTCATGACTGAGCGGAGCATGTTGGCCATTGGAGAGTGGGCCCTGGGTCTAATCATGAACGTCTTCTCAGGTCCAGGTCTTCAGGGGATAATCAAAGACTCACATCCCGTACAACCATCCATACCATATTCTGGTGACCCCCAAATTAGTGTCTCCTGATATTTCTGTGAAATAATTAGACAATCATTTGAATGTCGGGGAAAGATCTGTATTTTCACCTTTTTCCCAGGGCGAGAAAAACAGAAAAGACTGAAAAGTTCTCCCTCTTCCCTCCCTGGACAAAACCAGGTAGAAAAACCCTCGTGGACTAGACCCGGTTCTGGAGCAGGAGCTGCCTGGGAATGTCAAGTTGAGGTTCCCCCACCATTTGCAGAGGGGGGTGTGGGGCTGAGCTCAAGACCTCCAGGGCTGTGCACTTGCTCTCAGCCTTCCTTTGCTCTAACAGGGTTCAGGCCATCCTTCCGCCTGACAGTGGGATGCAGTGACGGGTTCCAAAGTGTCTTGACAAGAATAAAGTAACACGTGCATCTATATGACTTACATGGGCTTTAATAACATGGGCTTTTCAGTGGGCTGGCTCCACATTTTAGTTGTCTATGAGCAGAAAGTAAGTTCCAGATACACACATGCTTGCACCCGAGGCAACGGAAAGGTTCTATAGGCTCCTGTCATAGATTTAAATAGTTTCTTCTCCCCCAAAAGCTCAAGTGCAGCATCGTGGCCTTTAGGTCAGGCAGTCACAAAAGCAGAAAAACACGATGACATGGTCCTTGGGGAGAGGAACTTGGTCAAGCGGCTCGCCCTCAGGAAGAGGTGTTGCCCTACACGCATGAGCTAAGGACGCTGACATGGGAGGCAGAGCCAGGCTGGGGAATCGGATGATTCCCGGAGCGTACAGAGGCATGGTCCCGCAAGCCAGAGAATGGCTTCAAAGAGAAAATATTTCAAATCTCGGTCCCTTCTTCTCTGTGCAATGGTCACCTCTCTCCCAGCAGGTCTGGTCTAAGCAACTATGTGTCAGTGGTCGTGGCCAAGGACCCAAAGCCCCAGATAAATGCAGCCTGATGAAAAGGAAGGATTCAAAAGGGCAAGCGTGTGTCAGCCAAAGCCCCCCTCGCCCCCCAAACACACTGACATCGAGTCAATTCCGACTCATCGTGACAATACAGAGGGTTTCTGAGTCTGTACATCTTTCTGGGTGCAGACAGATGGAGCGGCTGGTGGGTTTGCTGACCTGGTGGTGAGAAGCCAGTGCCTAATCCACAGTGCCACCAGGATGCTCCAAGAAGTTTGTCCGTTATCTTTCAATTCCATTTTCACATGAACTTTTTAAATCCCCTTCGTACTGTCTTATACCCCTGCCTAGAGAAGGACCAGAGCAGGCGCCATTCAGGAGCAGGGCTCCTCCCCGGGCTCCATGCACCTAAGATTAAAGGGGTGAGTAACGCAGGGGTGGGCGAATGGTCCTTGCTGGCTTTGACCAGAGAGGACAGAGCCACGGCGAGTGGAGACCAGCCCCCTGGTCGTCCTCCATGGGCTTTGGATCAACAGGAATGATTCGCAGCCGTGTGTGATTTTACCTGGAGTCTTCACGGACCTCCTCTTCTGGCCTGTCTGAAAGCAAGCTCGGGGTTGGATGGCAGGGGACAAGCTGACGAGGAGGCTGAACACTGCATGAAGAGAGCAGCAAGCACATGAGAGCACAACGGCAGCAACAGAAACCCGCACAAACCCTGCCACAGACCTGATGGGGGATGAGTCGCTGGACGCGGATGAGGTGGGCATAGGGCTGGATGGCGCCGAGAACATGGGCCAAGATGGCGAGAGGGGTGATGTTGGGCTTGGATTCGGGGGGCTGCAAGACATAACAACCAGAAAACTCGTCAGCACGGAGGGAAACCACGAGGGGAGGACAGGAGGCGCATGGAGGCCGGATGGCGGAGAGCGGGAGCCCACCAGACAAGCATTGAGACCCAGGGACGAGTGGCCACTGCCAAGTCACATTTCTCCAGCATAAACCGTCACGTCTTCCAAGTTTATGCTTCTCAAATTCCTTGGAGCATAAACATGTCTCTGTGTTTTGGACGGATTGCTTTCAAGGTAGGAGCTCCTTCAGTCACGGCAAATGTCCATTTGGCCAGCAGTGAAGACTGGCCCGAAACCATGTGCGTGTGTGCCTACGCTCCTGTCACTTGGATGGCCTCTGCTCTCGGGCAGGACTAGCTTACATAACGAGCCTTCCACATCCACTGTCCTTTTTTAAAGTTGTGTCTCAGCAAAAATGACACCATCCCCCCGCCCCACCCCCCTGGGCCACACAGGCCATTTGGCCAGAAAACAATTTCCTGTTTACATTTTTTCACTAAGCGGGCTTGGTGTGGCCGCAGAACCAAAGCACAGCATTAGGAAGACGATCCACAACGGGCACGGGGCATGTTCCCAGGAGTGGGCTGCATGGACAGGCAGGGTGCCGCCGCCCAGGGCTGTTCCTGGGCCTGCCCTTCCTCTTCCACCGTGATTCTGATGCTTAAGAAAAGAGACCCAGAGGAAGGGGGGGAGGGGGGGCTCGAAGTGAAACCTTAAATCTGTCTACATTGTCCTTTGATGGGTAGCTGATCAAAACCTTGTAAAGAAAAGGTTGAAATGACTCACTAAAATATGGTTTGTGGGTCTTAATGGGTCATGTTAGCCTTTTGATTTATTTCAATGAATCATACTAACAAACACCTTAGCAACCCTGTAAAATACGAATACGTCACAGATACTGCTCACACCAATGGCTGAGACAATGTAGAAACCAACCCTCCACAACAGGACCTACAGTCCCTGCATCTTAACTGACAGCTGGGGTGTTGGGGCCAAGCACTCAGTGGAGGTGACAATGATGGCAATTCAATTCGGGAGCCACAGGCTTTCCAAACGAGTGAGATTTACCAGGATCATATACATGTTCTGCTTGAGGGGGCATCCCAACTACAGCCACTACTGTGGTCCTAACTGAAGTGCCCACTGAAACGCAGTCGAAGCCCACCCAGTGAATCCATCAGCTAGCCTCAGGCTAATTCAACGTTTATGAAAAGCCAAACCCAACCCAACCCACTGCTGCCAACACCACAGGATAGAGAACTGCCCTGCGGGCTCTGCGCGCTGTACATCTCTCTGAAAGCAGACCGTCCCAGGGCAGCTGCTGGGCTCCAACACCCACCTGTAGGTAAGCAGCTGAGCACTTAGCCGCGGTGCCACCAGGGGTCCCTATAAACCCCATCGGGGCCGAGATTTTTTGTCTGATGTATTTACTGGCATATCTCCAGTGTGTAAAATGAAGCCTATCATTTGAAGTATTCGAGAAATACTTGTTGAATGAGTACATTTAATGAATGCCATTTACCAAACTCACAGGCATTGCTATAGTTCCTATTTCACAGATGTGCAAACTTGGGCTAAGCTGAGGCCTGCCTGAGGATATGCACCCGGGCCTGTGGGTGCCAGAGGCTAGGTTCCCACTCCAATCCTCTGGGACCTAGCTCAGGGCTCCTGCTGCCACACTGTGCTGCCTCGGGGGAAGCAGGGCCCTCTCTGCCCCTCTTCGTTTCTGGGCTGTGAAAACTTTACAGACCTGGCCTTGCACCAGAAGCCTCCCAATTACCGTTCCCTGAGTTCCTAGATGTCTGCCTTCTTGACAAGGGAAAGACAGAACACAGCAGCAGGCGGACTCACTAAGGCTCAACACACTGTGAGCCCCAACAGAACCCACTCCGACTGCCAGTATTCTCTCTGGTAGAGAGGCACAGCAGTCAGGAGTCATACAATAAAGAAAAATAAATTCAAAGACCAAGCCTCCTTTACCTGTCCCCTCTGTCCTTCCTCCTTCCCCTAGTGGTTAACGCACCAAAGACTAAGTCCTGAGAACCTAATACGATCAGAAAAATGAGGGGAATAACAAGTAGCTCAGCAGGGAAAAGCCAGGAGGTTACTTTGAGGACTAAGGTCCTCCTGACTCAGGCCATGGAATTTTCAATCGCCTCATTGCACATAAAAGTTGGACATTAGATAAACAAGGCCAAAGAGGAATTAATGCATTCGAACTGTGCTGGAGACGAACACTGAAAGTACAGCGGGCTGCCGAAAGCACAGACAAACTCCTCTTGGAAGAAGCAAGGTGAGTGCTCCTTAGAGGCACGAATGGTGAGAGCGTGTCTTACAGACTTTGGGCAGGTTGTCAGGAGAGAGCAGTCCTGGAGGAGGACATCATACTCAGTAGAGGGGCAGCAAAAGACAGGAAGGTCCTCAAGGAGATGGACTGACACAGTGTGGCTGCTACAATGGGCTCAGCCATAGGAACCCTTGTGAGATGGCACAGGATGGGGTAGTGTTGCATTTTGTTGTGTGTGGAGTCCTTATGGGTCAGAAGTGACTTGCTAGCACCCAACGGTGCCGCCCTGCCGCTGCCACCACCCATGTCCCTGGCTGCAAGATGCAGCGCTTACTACACACACACACACACACACACACACACGCCTCTAACATAAGAGAGTAAGATTCCTTCGCTGAGGGCTAAGTTCATTGATCATTAGTTTGATTCTTATTCTCACTTGACTTTGGCAAGTCCTGGAAGTGGTGCGTCCTTTGCTGGGATCAGGTCTTGGTTTTTCTTTCATAACTGCTCTTGTAAGAGAAGGCCTCTTTTCTCAGTCCCTTCTTCACAACTCCATCCAACTAGATAATGGATGTTCTAGTGGGCAAGGCTGCGCAGCAACTTCTAACTGCGGCCCAGAATGCTGACCACGGACAATTCGGAAGTGCAAGAGAGCAGTCCAGAGGAGAGGCCTGGACCCATCTATTCCTGTCCTCTGATCAGTGGTTACCCAGGACAATTAAAAAGTTCGAAGACATTTTATTTCCATTTATTTTTTTTAAATGGCTTTTAGAAGTAGGAAACAGCTCCAGCTTCTTATCCCATCTGCACCAAGAATTCTGCCTCTGGCTGAAGGCATCGTTGGGAAGCTTGTCCATGAACGCAGCACAGGTTCTACATGCTGCTCAGGGGCTCCGCTCTCGCAGGGTTTCCCGGCCAGTAGCAGACGGTGGAAGGTATCTGGTGAGTTGCTGGGAGAACGCAGAAAACCCATAACTATCGTAAACTCTTACTCTTTAACCCCCATGTCAACTGCCACTATTCACTGCAATTTTAAATAAAAACGAGGGTTTCTCTGGTGCTTCCATCAGAATCATCATGCTGGTAGCTGTGGCTGCTAAGTCCATCCAAGTGCTTCCCACTCACCGTACTCCATGTGTGATGTATAATCCACGTGCCCCTTCCTCATTCAGGGCAGCCACTGTTGCCAGTCCAGCCCCTTCAGCTGTCCTCTTTGGGGCTGACTCTCTACTTTTCCAAGCATGAAATCCTTCTCTAGGAACTGACCCCTCTTGATAACTTGTCCAAGTGCACAAGACCAAGCCTCCCCACCCTCACCTCTCTGGAACCGCCAGGCTGGAGTTCACACTTCCGGCCACCCGGGGCATCTCCAATATTCCTCTCCAGCACCATAATTCCAACACAGCAACTCTTCTTTGCTCTTCTGCAAGCCGTGCCTAGCGTTCCCACGCATATGAAGCAATTGGAAACACCATGACTCCAGTCGGGCACACCTTAGTCCTCAAAATAACTTCTTGCCTCTTTGACATTTTAAAGAGGTCTTGCACAGCAGATTGGTCCGTGCACTATGCTGTTTGTTTCCTGATGGCTGCTTCCATGAGCACTGTGGATCCAAGTGACCTGAAATTCCTAACGCCCTCAGTCTTTTCTCCCTGTGTCCTGATGCTGTTTACTGGTCCAGCTGTCATGAGTGCCGTACGTCGAGGTATAACCCTTAATGAAGGTTTGGCTTTAGTGTGGCATTATGAACAACCTGTAGTGTGCAGATAACACAGCCTCACTTGCTGAAAGCAAAGCGGACTTGAAGCAGCCGTGGTCAGTTTCCAAAAATGACTAGTTTACAATGCATTAGCACTGTGTGTGCTTAGTGCATTAGGAAAGCGCAGACTGCAGGAGTTCTCGAGTTTTCAAGAGACAGGTGCGATGCTGCCTTTTGTTTAGGTGTGCTTCTAAAAGAGTCAGGCTGATTAGTAACAACACAGCTGAACAGTTCACCTACCAAATATGATACAGCACTTCACGAGAATGTCT